ACGTGCGTGTACGGATGTGTATGACGCACCGGCATGTAACCAATAGGGTTTTCAAAGGCACTACATATCACCCTCACAAAATAAACTGAAACCTAGCACCTGTAAAGTCAGAAAGAGGAAACGGGGGCGAGGGGCTGGCTCACCAATCGAGATCAACATCAGTACGGAAGTACTTGGCAGCAGAAACGCAGAAGAACTTCTCCAGCAGCACCTCAGAATCCAGCACGGCAATGTGCGCGGCGCGACCGATGAAGTTGTTGGCGGAGCTGGGGAAGTTGTGGTGAATGTCGTAGCGAACAACCGTGGTGTGCGAGTCTTTGATAAGTCGTTGCAGCAGGTTGGCCACCATTTCCATGTAGATAATACCTGCGAGAGGAAGAAAAAAAGGGAGAAATAGACGAAGCAGTTGGTCAACACTGCGCACAAAATGTAAGCACCTATAGAAAACACTTTTGTAATTATTAACATAAATTGGCACAGCGCAAAAAAGAATCTTGCCAAGCGATAACAACTTAATTTTGTGCTGAATAAGCACACTGAACAAACCACTATAGACAACCCGGTTAGATGTTTGTCTGACGAGCTAAATGCTGTTTTAAATGAGGATGAACAGTAAGCAAAATACTTAAATTCCGTATTTGGACTTATCGGGCGGGTAAAATCGATCCAACTGTGATTAAATTCACGACGCACGGTGAGCCTCGTAACTCAGTGGTAGAGCGTTGACTGCGCAAAAGCCTTCTCTGTTGTGTGATTTTGACTCCCACCGAGGCTGCGAGTCAACTGAATATTCTCTATTCATTTACCCTTATTCTGTCGTCCTCCCTTGCCTTAAACACATTTATATTTAACTTTAGATCAATGACCTGTAATAAAGTCCTTATCTGAATTTCAAGTTTTTAGTGAAAAGTAACTATGTTAGTGAATAGTAATTTATCAATCAAATTATGTCTTTTATTACTAATGGTACTTAGTTTACTGCTTTAAAACTTGGAGGGACGCCACATGAGCTGATTTCGCGTA